CCATCCAACCTGCTCCACACTTCCAGGGCTGGGGCAGCCACAGCTTTCTGGGAAATGTGTGCTAGTGACACACTGACCATGACCTTCAAATTGTTGCCTACAAGGCAGTTAAGGATAATAGCATCACACAATTTCAGCAGTAGGGGTAGTTTGCAATAAAGCTTTGTTAGACTTAGCAGAAACACAACTGATGACAGGGTTTATACTGATGGTGAACAAAGAGATGGGAAAGTGAAAAAAATTCAGGAATACTCCAGTGTACTCTTCTTTCATGGGCTGTGCTCTGAACTGACACGTTACCCTGGGTCTTCTCAAGTGGCTGAAAGCAACACAGCCAAGAGAAGATTTCCCAATCCATCAGGAACCAATAAGAACATAAATGTACACATTCCCATAACAGCCTCATCTGGGATCACTTAGGAATCTTAACCAAATGAGAGACTTTGCAGGCCACATCCAACTGATCAGAGATATTAAAGCTGTTACATTCAGGTATTTGGGGACTGTTCTCAAGATGTGTTCATTTTTTGCAGATGTCCCAGCTGAGGCTCATAACTTGGGAGGGTTTAGTTAAGGCTCCAGGTGAATGATTTCCCAGCTCAGTTTGCAGTCTGGCAACAGATTCCTGGCTGTGCCATCCAGGCAGTCAGACTGGAGCAGGACGTGCTGTTGGGGCCTCTTGACAGTGTTTATGTGTCAAACCAGCCTTCAGGTCAGAAAGGCAACAAAACTGGACTTGATTTCATAGGAAAACAGCAACAACAAAAAAAAAATAAAAGAAAAAAAAAATAAAAACAAAACCTGAAAAACCCTCTCATATCCCAAATCTTCCAAAATAGACAACCCATTTGCATTCATCTTTTCCTTCGAAGGAAGTTTATTGTTATTGTTGTCATCACTAGACAATAAGTGACAATGTGGCACTTCAGTGAATGGCAGCATCACTCTGAATTCAGGACTGAATTCAGTGGTCCATCAAGAAGTTCCTCCTGACTGAAGCAAACCAGCAGCTGCCATGTCTTTACTTCTTTTTCCATGTCTCTGAGCTCCAGCCTGACAGATACCAGGCAGAGATGTTTGTTAAGTAAAAGAGCATTGACTTTAGACCACATTAAGAATTTTTTTCACCCATTTATTTTTAGATATAAAAAGTCCAGACTTCAAGAGTGAAGTGAAGTGAAAGCTACGTAGCACCAACATCTAAGTCTGGATAAGTATTGGTCTAAAAACAAAGTCTGAGGAAGTCTTAAGCTTGACACAGTAGGACATTGATCTGTTCTGAGGAGGCCACCAAGTTAATTAGAGGGATGAAGCACCTCTCCTAAGAGGAAAGGCTGAGACAACTGGAACTGTTCAAACTGGAAATGAGAAGGGTTTTTGGTGACCTAATTGTGGCCTTCAAGTACCTGAAAGGAGCCTGCAAGAAAGATGGAGAGAGATTATTTTCAAGATCCTGGAATGACAGGACAGAAGGGAATGGGTTTAAACTAAAATAGAAAAGATTTAGTAGGAAGAAATTCTTCCCTATGAGGGTGGTGAGGCCCTGGCACAGATTTCCCAGAGAAGCTGTGGCTGCTCCATCCCTGGAAGTGTCCAAGGCCAGGTTGGATGGGGCTTGGAGCACCCTGGGATGGTGGAAAGTGTCTCTGCCCATGGCAGGGGAATTGGGAGTGGTCCCTTCCAACTCAAATTGCCCTATGATTCCATGATTCTTTCAGTCAGTGAGATTTGCCATGGAAAGACAGATTTGTGTACATTCATTCTGGACAAAGATGTAGAGAACTGGTAAATTCCTTCCTGTACTGCTGCTCTTGCAATATTAAAATAGGTGGCCACTATGTGAGCTTGGGATCTTTTCCCATTTTAGGTAATTGGAAGGTAACAGATACACAAAGCTTGGTTCCAAAACTGTTCAAAAGAGTCAGAAATGTGATGCTTTTAAAAGTGTAAAATGTTTTCAGAACAATGTGGGTCTTTCCTTGTGGCTTTGTGAAATGCTATGGAGCTGTAAACAGTGATAGAAGTGGTGGAAGTTGAAGTTTGAGTGTTATTCTGGCATAACTATTAAGGTTCCATACACAGGTAGCATGGAAAAACAGCTTTTCTAAAAAAAAGCACTAGCTCCTATTCAGGTCAATTTTATTCTCACTTACAAGGCAAACAGAAGCCTACAAATTGGACAAAGCAAGGCACTTGCTTTCATCAGGTTCCAACACAAATATTGGCAGCTGTGCTGTTGACACTTTGTTCAGAGGAAGTGAGGATTTAGGGATTCTCTTCTCCCTAACACCAGTCACAAAACTGATTCCATGGAAGTTTGCATACATATCCCAGTGCCACCAATCAAAGTACACACATATAAAATAGAGATTTGGGATATTTGCCCACGATGGTGGTGCCTGGTAGGCATTTCCCTGCTCACTTCCAGGTCTGAAGGTGACTTTTGGTGACTTTGGGAACCCTTCCTGCCACACCACCCCATTTCCTTGCTTCAGTAATCCTGTTCTCTGCTCCTACAGGACTGCTGGTCCCTCCCTCCCCCATCAGTACTAAAATTCTCCTTATGAGGTGGATCCCACTTTCCAAAGCAGCTGCAAATCCACAACAGTATCCCACTGAACCCCAAACCATGTCACCAACACCAATTCTACAGCCAATTATTGTTTTTTTCCTATTAGGGTCCTCCTCCTTCCCTCTGTCCCCTCACCAGCTGCCCATGTGATGAAGTTGCACTGGGATGTTTTTGCCAAGAGCTCCTGCAGGATTGTGTTGGGAAGACTCTGCTGATTCCCAGTTAACCCAAGCCATTGGCTTGTTTTGGTTTCATAGGCTTGGGCTCACTGATATGGTAATGCATAATTAAGTATTTGTATCAAAGAGATGCCAGGAACTTGGGCACAGAGTTTGTTTGCAGAAGACATAAAATAACAGGAGTATCCTCTCCCAAGTCTGCATTCTATTCCTCCCCTGAACAACAGAAATTGCTGTCTCCCCTAGGGAGTGTTATCAAAGTGTTCATTAAGGAACTGGCCCACGTGCCAGAAAAACTCCTTTTAGATTCTTGTAAGAAGCAAGGGTTACTCTGCCTGTGCCATGCACAGACCACACAAACTCTCCCCACAATTCTCCCCAGCTCAGGGGAACCAAAGAGGGGTTTTCTCTGGGAGCATTTTGCTGAGGGCTTCATCTCCTATTCCCTGGTTTTGTATTTTCTCTGTGTTTCCTAGACAAGCACACACAGAGCTTTCATTCCATGCATGTCAGAAGAGTGGACTGAAAAAAAAAATTAAAGGGCCAAGAGAGCCGTCTCTTGTCATCATGGAATTTTCACTGTAGGAGTTTCAACATCTCTTGCCTCCTGATTCTTTATCTCCCTTTTGTGCAATATGAATGTCAAAAGATAAACAGTGGGACCCTTCAGCAATTGGATGGGAAGATACCTTGATTGCCTGTCAGGATTAAGAGATAGTCCTTAAAAAAACTGCTAAAAATCTGCTGGAGTGTAAGAGGAAGAACAACAACAACAAAAAGAAAAACCCATGAAAACCTTATGCTGGCTCAAAGACAAAATGTCCTACTTAGTCTAACAGCTTCTCACAGGGAAGTTAATACTGGGATGGCTTCTATGCATGGGTAAAGTCTTAAAATAATAAATATTGCCTTAAGAAAAGGAGTTGTGAGGATCTTGAAACTAGCTGATGTATGTTGTCATGTCCCTCAAGGCATTAGCATCTGATGTGCTTTTAGAGATGAATCAGGCTCCAAAGTTATCCATGTACAAAAATAAGCTTTCAAACCAGCATCAAGAGAAAAAAAAAAAAGAAAAAAAATACGAAGAAAAAAAGAAAATATACTAAAAAACTGACTTTCATTTTAATTTTGATTTGCTTTCGCTGCCCCTGTAAACCTGAGTGGTGTTTCTTATTCAATTTCAGTATGAAAGGAAGTATCTTATGGTGATGGAAATTTGCAGAGATATGAACTCAGCAAAGAAATCTAGAGTGAGTAATAAGCAGCCGAGAAGAGTTTCTGCGTTTCAAATCTTCATATGGCTGTCTCAGGACTTGCTCCTGCTCCTAGAAGCACCAGCTGAGCCTTCAGGTAAGAAATATCCCCACAAATCCTGCTGCTCTGTAGTTTAGATCCCTCAACAAGCCTTTAGGGCTATTAGCTCCCAAATTTGAAAATGAGCAGTTGTTCCAGAAGAACCAAATATTATTATTGTATTATTGTATGTTTATGTATTGTATTATTATACATAAAAACAAGAGATAGAGGAAAAAATCGATTTTTCTTCACATCGGCAGAAAAGAGCAGTGACAAAGGTCAGAGAGAGCTAATTTAAGTGTCCTATCTCTCTGTTCACAAGAAGTGGTGGCTCTCAGTGATGGGCTGCTCCTAAAGATAGGACTAGGAGTTACTCTTATCTCTTTTCCCAGTTTTCTCCAGCCAATTTTTTCCTAGTCATCAGTAGCTGGAGAACAAGAGGAGATGAACTAATGGGCAGAAACTTCAGTCTTTATATGAGCACATCTTGATGTCAGGCTTCTGTAAATTTAATTAGACACACCCTGTTATGTGGAATGAAAATTCTCTTTGGAAACAAAAAGCTGCTTATTTTTCTCTAATTTCATCAATAGTCATAATAATAATTGCCACTACTACTGTTTTTTAATTACAGTTCCAGGTAGAAAGGAAGAATTGGATCCCTTTCCAGTTAATGTTATATATTCTCCAGCTTCCTTTTTGCAGTCAAAAGGGAATGGATTCATCTCTCTGTGGATTCTATTTTATGCTAAATGTACCAGCAAACTGTCCATAACATAAGAACCTTATTGAACAGGGCAGCTTGTCAGATCCAAACATCTCTGGATGCTCAAAATGCTCAAAACAGAGGGAAAATAATCACAGCATCAACAAAGGGCTGCTGGTGAGGGACAAAATAACGTTGGAAGGGTGGGAGAGGGTAATAAAGCCCCAAATTTTCATGTCACACCTACCTATTGTGTCTCCTTGCTCGTGCACCATGGAGGCCAGGTCTTTGATGATCTGGTTCACATCCAACATGTCACTCTGAAAAGACAGAAATCCTGACATTAACGAGGAGTGGGGGATATCCAGGTAACAAAGGCACATTCCACAGTCCAGCTTGGCAAAGAAAAACACAAACCCAGGAATCTTCATTGGTGTAGAAGTAAAAGGAGAAGTTGTAATGCTCCCATAGTAAAAAATTCCCTCAGAGCCATGGTTTGCTGGATCTAAGTCAGCCAGCTGACTCAAGCTTTGTGAGAGGAACAAGTGGAATGATCAGCTTTTATGGCTGCTTTTCAGAATTGTGGAGGACTAAGGAAAAACAACAATAAAAACAACAGCAGCAAACCCTTCTCTTTCTAAAAAAGTTATTGGTGACGCAGGCCATTCATCCCAGACTGTTTTCTCCTACACAGAAAAAGGCCATCTCTCAGCACAGCATCCATCTGATGCTATTCATAAACTGATGGAGATACAAAGGAAAACTCCCTGAATTTGAAATTACCTTATTGGTAGGGTAATAAGGGAAAAGCTGTTTGATGAACAGACTCATTTATATGTTTTCAAGTAGTAAAAAAGAAAAAAAACCAATGTAGCTACATTCAGCTCTGAAATTTTCTCTGTGAAAACACAGCAAATTACCCATGAGTTTGTTTTCTTCATTTCTGAACACTTACCATATAAAAGAGCAAATGTGAGCATATGTTGACATCGTATGACACTGCCTTTTGTAAGAAGAATTAATTTAGCAATAATAGACATAATAATATAGACACTGCTAAATGCACTACCAGCATTATCAGAGCAGGAAAAAAGACACTAAAAAATGATGTATTTCTTTTTCAGCTGTGCAAGTCAGAGAATCACAGAAACATTGAAGTGGGCAGGAACCTCTGGAAATTATTTAGCCCAACAGCCCTTCTCAGAGCAAACAACTAAATTAGGGTGCTGAGGGCCATGGTTTTGGTTGCCTCCAAGGATGGAGATCCCTGGCAAACTGTAATTCCACGGAACCCTGTGTGTTGTTTGACCATGTCTGGATGAGAGGCACCCACCAAATCTGCTCTACCTCTCCCCTCTCTAAGCAGACAGGGGACTGAAAATATAGTGAAGGGTTCACAGGTTGAGATAAGGACCAGGAGACCTCCCCCTCCTGGCAAAACAGCCAGATATCAATCGAGTTTATCACTAACAAAGTCAGAGCAGATAATGAGAAGTGTCTGAACTATCTGGACACAATCCTGTGCCCTGTGCTCAGGGATGGCAGGAACAGGGAGATGGGACCAGATGACCCCACTGTGGTCCCTTCCAGCCTGGCCCACTCTGGAATTCCATGTTCATCTCAAAAGTTCCAATTGCATCCACCACACTTTTTAAAGAACTCCCTTTCCCTACTAGCAAATTTAGAAAATGGTGCAGAATGAATCCATGTCCTCCTACTGAAGTTTGCTGTGAGAACATAACTGGCATAACACTTCAGCACGTAATGAAATAGAACTGCATCAATTTAAAATGAGGTCTGGGAGTCCCACTGTGAGTGCTAGAATATACCAAATTGTTGAATAACTGAAGATGGAGGAAAAGCTAAAGATTTTAAAAGCTGTGAGAAATCATAATAAAGCAAAAAACACTCCCCCTACCAAAGACTGGATAATGCACCACAAAATGCACTGCATTCCTTCATTTGTCAAGCATAATGAAGCTTTAATTATGGATGGTATTATTCCTAACTTGTAAATACTGCAGAATATTTTGCAACACAATGAAATTTAAGTAATTTGAGATTGTACTTGAGCATTGTGTTAGTAAATCATTACCAGGAAATGAGGAGAAATGAGTGATGATTTTTTTTTTCCTGTAGGGAAGATTTCTGAGCTTTTTGTTAAAATATTTTAAGGGAGAAAGTTAAAGTTTAGCAAAATGTGAAGACTGATAATTAACATTAATGTCTTGTTCTGCTCTTGTTTAACTGCTTTGCAAAAGATGATTACGGAAAATATAAACAAAAAAAAATAATAATACTAAAAAAGCCCGCCCAGAATGCTGATTTGTCTCTTCTCTTGGCTAAATTGTCACTGACATAATTTTTTTGTTTCTGTTCCTTGCAATACAAACACAATCCCTTCTACACTTCAATCTGCTTTATTTTCTTGTGCTTCTTTTTCAGCACTTTAAGTGAAGGTGACTTAAAGCTCACGAATATGTTTTTGCAGGTACATTTGGTTAGACAGAGTTTATTGCAAAATGTTGAATTACACACGCCCCCCACCCACCCCATTCTGTTTTATTCCATTGGAATAAAACAGATTCCAACGTATCCATTGACTTCTCAGAGGACCCTTCCCAGGTAATTTAACCACGAGGTGTTGGGCTGTCCAAGTCCTGATCCCCAGATATTACAAGAAGGGAAGAATGAGAAAGAAAATTCAGTGTTGTGTGTGAACGGCGCTGGTTCAGCTTTGCCATTTGTATTCAGGTACTTGAAACCAACCATCTGCAGCTGCAGAGTATAGATCCTTCCCATAATGTTGCAATAACACTTAAAATTACTGTTTAGCAAATATGCATCAGTGAGAGCCAGCGCTGAGTTGTGAGGAAGGAAAAACTGCGACTGCTGCACTTCAGGAAAAACAAACAGGGATGAGTTACAAAGCACAGAGCACAAAAAACAATCTGACCTGAAGCAAGAAATCTGTTGAATAATTTAACCTGGCAATGTGAAGTTTCAAAGTCCTTGATGTATGTAAGGAAAACAAAAGAAGAAATAGAAGAAAGAAAAATACCCAGAAATAAAGAACTTCCATAATGGAATATACCTTGGAGCTACTCTCCTGCTCCTTCGTGCCAGGTCTGCTCCATCCCCAAGTACCTGTGAACTTGCCAGGCATCAGAGTTTGTTAGGAAAATCAGATTGCCTTTGGTTTCCCAGGTTTGCACACACTTTGCAGAATTCACAATGAAATACAGCTCCTCATAAATCTCTGACTCCACAGAACCCAGGAGTGCAGCAGCCACCACCATTCCCAAAATTTTGTCTCCCTGCCAGCTAACTAGGCTGGGGCTCCCTGGGTTTTAATTAACACCAGCCTTTCCTGTCTGGCAGCAATTCATTCACTATATTCTGCAGCAAGAGGGAGACAGGTTTAAACGATTCCATCTAAATACTCTCTTTTTTTTTTTTTTTCCCTTGAAAAGGAGAAATCAGATTAGTAGACAGGATTTAATATCACCCATTCTGGAACAAAAAGAATTAAACTAGTCAACAATAAAATGAAATGGCAGTAGTTAAAGATGGCCAAAAAAGTAGAGGAATGATAGATGAGAAAACCAGAGATATGAAAGAATTTGAGAGCCTTAAGTTCTGGAGGATTAACTCTCACCAGGAAAAATTAGTTGGGGAAGTACTTAACAGAAAGTGCTAGGTTAAAATGCCAGGACTATTTTTGTCACTTAACCTGACTCAATAAGTGAATAATGTCACTGCATAGTACTGAGATTTTGGGGGAAAAAAATAAAATTCCAAACCTGACACAAAAATGGTTGGAAATATGATTTTGCAGATAAACTAGAAATTTCAATTTCCCAATTTTTGCTTTAAGAAGATAAAGATTTCAACATTTTTGAAATTAATTTATGAGCAAGTCAGATTATAAAACCCAGACATTGTCACCAATGTGGGGACAATAAATCCCAGCAGCCCATTTCCCCACAGGATGAGCATTACTGAAGAATTTCCAAGACAGAAAACAAGCAAACCTCTTCTCTCTTCCATTCTCATGCTTTGTGGGGTGAAGATTTATTCCCACTGAAAACTTCCAACATAACCCTGCCCTTAATGATATCCGAAAGATATTGTTGTATTCCTGCCATGGGAATGGTGTCAAATAAAGCAGAGAGGAGAACATGTTCTCCTCAGAAGGACACAGAACAAACCTGTGTAGTCAATAATTCCTCTCTCACATGGATCCAGTTCCCAGCCTCCTCTATCAGTGTCAGCTCAAGTCCTCGAGGGGAGAGTCACAGTCACACTCATTTCTAGGAATGTTTGCCTTAGGTTTGTATAAAAATGGGATGAAAAGTATCAGTGGTCTATCCTATTTAGCACATGCACTTTTGTGTACTCACAAACCAGCCATCCATTTTTAAAGGGCTATAAATTAGCATTTAAATTAATTGCTGCCTCAATATTCAGGAGCTGCTGAATTTTTACAAGCGAGGTCACATTCTGACCTGTCATATACTCTGCAGCAAGCAGCCAGGAGAGCTATAAAATAAACCTCAAGGAGATCCTGAAAGATGTCCTATAAGGCCCATGTGTGCATTTCTGCACATGGAAGCACTCCAAAACACAATAAAGCAAAACAAACCCCTTGTGCTTGTTACCTTTGGGGGAAAAAATAAAGAAGCAAGGAAAAAAGAAAGCAACCAACAGCTCTTTGTAGTGTCTGTCATGTTTTACCAAAGAGATGCTGAGATGTTCCTTGTGTGTTGTCCCATCTGCAACAGCTGTGGGGCATCTCCTACCCTGTGGTCCAGCATGTATGGACATGGAAAGACAAATCAGAGCATGGTGTTTGTCTGTCCTCATTCCTTTCTGAGAGACAGGGGAAGGAAAGGAAAAGGAAAAAAAAATAAATAAAATGTGAGCAAGCTTCTGATGCAAGATAGGCAGAAACTAAATCTTGCTACAACAGCCTTTCAACAAATATTTTTCTCTTGTCTATGGCTGGGGAGAAAAAAAATGACATTCAATAAATCAACCTGATTCAGCCTAAGCAACAACAGACCAGCAGAAAATTGTTTTGAGGGCAGAAGCCATCCAGAACAGCAATTACAGACTGAGTTAGATCTCCTCGGGGACTCAACAACAGCCAGAGTGTGGAGTTTCTCTCTCCCACTCCTGCCTGTGCACGTTTCCTCTCTCTTTTTCTGTCTTAGAGGTCTGTGTCATCTCAGGGCGTGGAGAACTGTGCTGCATGATGAAAGTAGTCATGCTGAGCTTTGGGATGCCAGTCCAGCACCTACCTGGGGACACCAGCTCA